TTTTTTTGGTGCGCAGGGCGGATTTAGGCTCGGCAATGAGTCGGCATCCATAGCTGGGCGGGCTACTGGTGGTTTATGCGATTTCTGGAAACAGACCAGCCTGCATATTTAATTAAGTTCCAAAAAAAAAAAAAAAAAAAAACTGAAAGCCAGTGAAAGGAAGTTTGGCACACAAATGTGTAGGCAAGGACGACACACAGATCGACACAAGGATGACACACACAAATCGAGCAACTGTCCAAGTTTAGTAAAATGCGTTGGAACTTGGAATACAAACTTGAATGACAGAACTCGGCGAGAGGTGCAAAAGAAACGAAAGGCAGTCTGAGAGAGCATTTCATCTTTTGTCTCTTTTTCTTTTCCCTTTCTTTTTTTCTGAAGTTGGCACAAAAGGGCATATTGTGTAAGCAGGAAGACGCACCATCGCCTCCCCCGGCAAGTCTTTGTCTGGCCGCGCCAACGCCCAACCTGAGTCATCTATCACCTGACCGATCTTCTCAAAAGCTTCCTTGTACATCCCCTCAAGTTGATCAGCTTCGTCAATCACCTGAAAGACGACAGTAATTCCATCGACCCAGCGCACAACAAAAATCCCACAGAAAAATAATTAAAAAGTTAACAAAAAAAAAAAAAAAAAAAAAAAAAAAAACTGTGTGGGTTCATATCCCAAGTGGTGATTGGTCTTCCCAGCCCGTGCCAGGTGTTAGGAGCTTGGGTGCTGCTCCCCGCACAGAGCAGAACGAAAAACGTAACGAGTGCATTTTCCTGCAGAAAACGGCCAGGTTCGTCGGTTTGCTATAAATAGTACCGAGTGTATTTTGCCACCTTTCGTGGGCAGATGCACTCGTTTCGTTTTCGTTTCGTGTGCCGTGCGGCGAGACCCAGAGAGGTGGTAGGCCTGGATCCATAAAAAAGCCCTGTGGTAGTTCCGGCTGGTAGGTAGCTAGCTAGAGTGAGGTATCTGAGTGAAGAATATAGATTAGGTTTTTTTTTTTAAAGAAAAAGGGGAGTCAAGCAAAACAAGCACACATACATTTTTCCAGTCGGAAGTAATTACAAGGCTCCTTGTACTAACTAGCCCCTTAAACTGCCAGTACACGGCCCCAGCCTTGCAAGATTTCTTCATGGCTTTTGCTCCTGGAGGCTCAGCGCTACCCGACCACAATGGCTGGTGGCGCCAGCCAGAAAATAAAAAGGAGTGTGCCGCTGGCGATTCTGCAAAGCTTGGCGTGCAGTGCAGCACCGCCAGGCCCAGGTGTGCTGGCAGTTTAAGAAACCCATGCATGGACCAAGCACTGGCTCAGAAAGAGTCCAAGAACAGACTCAAGTACAAAACTGTGTATCATCAATAGCTAAAAGGTCCAGTTGGATGGTGGCTAGCGGACACGCAGGTGCCCCCACCAGGCTGACACAGTGGAAGAATTTGCCTGGCAAGATGTCCAGATCCCTTTGCGTTTTCTAGGCATCAAAATCACGCACAAGGGTCCCGAGTCCCGACCATGCAATGGCTCCAGAAATCCTCACTCGGATGATAGCCAAAATGGACGCTCGGTCCAGCATATATATAT